CTTGACCACCCGCGCCAGAGGCTCTAGGAACTTCGGGTTGGCGCTGTAGATACGAATCGTGACGGGCTGGTAGAATTCCTTAAGATTCGACCTGTTTGCGTCTTCCTTTGACTCCTTGGATTTGTTGGAGTCTGGTTTGCTGGGAGTTTCTGCCTGAGCCTTCTGATTGCCTTTATCGTCTGGCCCTTTGGCCGAGTCAGTTGCGTTCGGCTTGGTGTCAGTAGCGCTCGTAGCGGAATCCTGATTGCTAGAAGATTGGGGCTTGTCCTTCTCCTTAGCGGCCTCGTCGGACTTGTCATTCTCTTTCTTGTCCTTCTCTTTGCCCTCCCCGCCTTCCGCTCCCTTGTCTTTGTTCTTGTCCGCTTTCTTCGACTTGGAGGTGGACTTGCCCTTGGCTCGGGATGTGGTCGTCACGGAAGCATCTTCTATGGGGAACGGTGTGTCGGGTTCCACCTTACGGATGAGTAAGAAGGACGCTAGAACTGTGTTTCCTCCAGGAAGCCATTCTAAAATAGAGTACTCCGGAAACAAATACCGGTCTCCTGAACCTGCGTGGCCCGAAGTGCTACTTCCGTAGGGAGTCAATGGTGAGGTAAACTCAAAGACAACCGACTTGTAGCCCACCCTAGGAGGAGGCGGGGGAGGAGCGGGCCGATAGTAGGCAGGAGAGCCGTGTTGCTGTGGGCGCGACTGAATTGAAGGAGACTGGCCTTGGAATGGCGGATACTGCGCACCTGGACGCGGTGCTGGAGTGTGATTGGGAGGGGGCTGAGTCATTTGTCGTCCTGCAGGAGTCGAGTTTGGCTGGTGAGGAGTAGAAGCTGCGCCTGGAGGGGGTGGCGGGACTACCGCCATACTAGGACTAGATACTCCACCAGGCGGCGGTCGAGTTGTCGCAGTCGTTCCCGGCTCCTGTTTGACCTGAGGAGCAGCATTGGACTTCTGAGCAGTGGGCGTCTGAGGTTGCTTGGTTGGAGTTTGGCTGGAATTCTGAGCTGCAGACTTCGTCACTGGCGAGGGCTTGGGAATTTGAACTTCCACTCTTGGCACCGGCTGCGGCTGCGGCTGCGGTTTAGCTTGAGATTGTGATTGCGGCCGATGTTGGGGGTTCGAGCCTGGCTGGGCCTGCGATGGGCCTTGCTGTTGACTCGGCTGCTCTGACTGCGATTGCTGGGAGTTCTGCAGCGGAGGAGGCTGATGCTGTCGCTGTAGAACTCCTTGCTGAGCAGGTTGCGGCGTCTGGCGCGGTGTCGGCGACTGAGCACTGCCTGGAGCCTGCCCTTGTTGCTGTTGTTGCTGTCGCTGTTGCTGTTGCTCTCTCGCACGAATGATCGCATTCAGTTCATCAATATGAGCCTGAAACGCTCGGAGCTGTTCCTGAGACGCTTTGCTGCTAGCAACCACTCTCATCAGCGCCTTGAGATCGGGGTCTGAAGCAGCTCGGGTTGCAAGCATCTGAATGACTGGGTCCGGACTGGGCTTTGGAGGTTGAGGGGGCTGTGCATGTTGAGTCGCAGGCGGGCGCTGGGCTGACTGAGGGGTATAGGGGGGACGAGGAGCATTGTGAGGAGGTGGATGACTCGGTGTTCTGGCGGGATGTGGAGGCGGATGTTGGCTGCCCTGGGGGTAACCCGGTTGCGGTGAAGCCGAGTGGGCGGGCGAGTAATGAGCAGGCTGGCGTGACTGCTGAGATGGTGGCGGATGAGGATAGGAATGGTACTGCTGGAAGTTGTTGGGATGGCCATAGTGAACCATCGGCCGTTGGGGGGGAGTGTATTGAATCGGTGGCGGCGCGTTAGGATCTTTGACGGTGTACAGCATAGCATCGAAAAGGTGAGGTCCAATGGCGATGTTGCAAGGTCCAACTTTCAGCATGGATTCTTTGGGAGGATTTTTGCCTTCAATCTGCTCTCTTTTGGACTTCTTGGGTTTGGTGTAGTATCGCTCTAGAATGCCGTCGCTGAGCCATTTCTTCTTCGATCGTTCCAGAGAGGCGAGAAGGACAGCACTGTGGGAGACAAAGGAACCGCGTCAGTTCAAGTACGTACTCAAGTAGATGAAAGCACAAAATGAAGGGCATTGCACTCGATGAAACCCGGAAGAACGCACCTCTCAGCGATTGACTGATACTCTTTGGACGAAAGGTCGGCGGGTTGCGGCGCGGATAGCGTGGGGAGAGCCTCTCCATCCTTGATCTTCGTCGGCAGGGGCTTCTCGATGACCTCCGGTTCAGGTGGAGGAGGTTGAGGAGTGGGAGCAACACTCGGTGTTGAGCCTTTTTTCTTAGAAGAAGAGCCCTGTTGAGCCTGAGATTGAGGTGCGGCTTCAGATTGACGTCTTTTCGCGGAGGGCTCGCGACGGTCGCGGGTGGAGAGTTTGCGCTTTTCAGCCATGCTGAGCAATATCACACGGGGCTGTTGATGGAAAATCCTCGCTAGAGGAGATCAAAAGCATCTCCAACGGCTCTGTGAGTGACTGGAGGGTAAGAGACGAAAGAAGCGAGGGTGAGTTGCGGAGAAGAAGAAAAAGGAACGCGGAGGATTCACGGGCGATGAAATCACGCCGCTTTTCTAAGATTAATGCTATGCTGGATGTCACTACTCCATCATTCTGGGACGGACTCTTTCTCTCTTCCTACAGCTGCTTCCAACCGACACTTAGATTCAAATATGATCATCTATCTGTCCTGATAGTTTTTTGATAATATTCCTCCCCGTCAGAGGCTTATCTTTCAGACTCTAGCTGGTGGATCTCCGAGGTACGCTTCCTATCTCTTAGAGCATCGCTCGCATACTTTGCTCTCTTCTTTCGGAAGCTCATACTGGGAGATATGCTTGCGTGCTCATAGGATTTGGCTATCGGATCCCACTTCACAATGGTTGAGTTACAACCGATTTTCAAAAAGGCCTACTGGACGCTGGCCGCTGGAGGCCTGGTTTATGTGAGCTTTATCTGCTCGCTCACATGGCCCAATGTCCAAAGATTGTACGCTTTGCTTAACGATATTTCTAAGAACGCGACTAACGACTGTGGCTCCATGCGCATAGTGCCTTGTATGCGAACAAAGTCAATCCTGCTCTGTGGGAGGATGTCAACCAGGTCGAGCGCTTTGGATTCCTAAGTATGTGGAAACGCCCAGTTATCCATGAGGTGGTCGTCGTTGACTTGGCCAGAAACGCAGGTCCAACCATTTAATCTGGTTACCCCCGATAACGAAACGATCTATGGCTGGCATTTACTCCCTCTACACCTCTGCCATGAGCACGAAGAGGAACTGAACACGAACGAGCCATCTGGTCCAGCTGAAGACTATACCCGGACCCCAGCTTTCAAATTCCTAGCCAACGACCCTAACGCTCGAGTAGTTGTCAACTGTAAGCGCATTGATTACTTCGCCTTGCGACACAATCAGAAGATGCAGTACGCTAACTAATCCTTGTGCAACTGCAGTCCACGGCAACGCCGCGCATCTCGGCTCCGCTCAGAGACCTGAAATCTACCGCATGCTTCTGGGCTTGTCAACGCCCTCGAACCCCGTCCATGTCTTCGCAATTGACTATCGTGGGTTCGGAGTGTCCACGGGCTCCCCAACGGAAGAAGGCTTAATTACCGACGGTGTCTCCCTCATCAATTTCCTGACCGCCGGTCCCTTGAACATCCCGCCATCCAGGATTGTCATCGCGGGACAGAGCCTGGGAACAGCTGTCAGCGCCGCGGTCGCTGAGCGCTACGCGTTCGGATCGCCGGATCCCGCAGCTGTCCAACCCGCCATTCAAGACCCCGAACCGTTCGCAGGCGTCATCCTCCTCGCATCATTCAGCAACCTGCGAAACCTTATTGAATCCTACAGCTTTAAGGGTCTTACGCCCCCGATGCTCTCTCCCTTGTTTGGGTACCCTCGCGTACAAAGATGGGTAAGGAGCCATATCGTCGACCACTGGGACACGGCCGCTCGCCTTGCACGCCTGACGGGTGTCGGACCATCTGCCGAGGAAGACGCGAAGGCAGGGTACACCAGCAAAGGCCTGGATCTCGCAATCATTCACGCGTTCAACGATGTCGAGATCCCCTGGTACGAAGGACGTAGTGTCTGGATTGCTGCCACTGGTGAAAATCAGAAAGACGCCCCTGGTACCCTTGTGTACCAGAAAAAGGAAGAGGGTGGTCCAACCGAGGTGAAGATCTGGGAGAACAGGTCCGGGAAGGACGCCGCCGTGAAGAAGGTTCGGTGGGAACGTGTAGGCCACGGTGGTATGTTGCAAACTCCTTTCAACGTTCCCATTTCGCGGGTAGAGACATAACTGATATGTTCTAGGTCATAACCGTGTGGCTACTTTCTCCGTTGCTGCTCTTGCCGTGCTCAGAGCTTTTGAGGAGTAATTTCCTGACCTTCCCCTACAACCCCGGGAAATAGCTCGATAGTCAGTTTCTGTAATCAGTCCCAATGTATGCCCATTCATCTACGGCCATTAGTAAGAGCATGATATCGACTTTGGAAATCACTTATCTTTCTATCCGATGATGGGAGGGAGAGACGTCCAGGAATACATACAAGAACCCATATCCTATCTGGCTTATATCTTTTGCTCCTAAATTTCTATAAACCCAAAATCTTTAGGCTAGTTGGTCATAGTGAATATCGGCTCCAATCCTATCCTTTTTCTAATTCACTTCTTCCATGGACCCCCCAATTGTGGTAGCCTAGGAAGGCAGGTTTACCTCTGTGACAGAGCCATGGATACCCAGGTAGGAACTGACCTTCTTACTATCGCATACAGACCCTGCAGCTGTCACCTACAACAATCTTCTCGATTTCGTCACCCGGCCTCTCATCCTCTTCTTCCTATCTCCCTATACTCTAGTCTCTAATTCCTACTCTTTGCATCCTCCAGCGCATACAGCACCTGCCAATTCCTCATCAGTTCACCTCAAGCATCTCCGGCTCATCCTCGTACCCCTCAGCATCGGTTCAAACGTGGAACCGACCAAATGTCATCACTATGGACATTCCGATTGAGGAACAAAGTGCCGCTGGGCTAGAATACCTTGGGTTTGAGACGTCCACGGCCAGCCAGATCTTCCAGCGCTACGCTAATCGGCCCGATCCTGATCAGTGCCCGACGATCTTCTGGACTATGCATGCGGACAAATTGCAGCCCTGAAAACCGACTCTGGCCGTGAGATGGACATCCAAGAAGCAATGACCCAGGTCGGCCTCGCCCCGCAGATCCAATCGGCTATCGCCGACCCAGCGTTCTCCGACATACTGTGGACCCGGTATCTGCATTTCTGGGTCAAAGATACGATTTAGACTAGCTATGGGACCCTCCGCAGCCGTTCAGGAGCTCCTCAAACGACATGCCCCGGCGTCTCGCTCCGCAGCGATATGGTCTTCAACGGACTGGAAGAAGTTCGTCCTGACCCGCAAGCAGGAGATAGACCCACCTCCAAAGTTTGACTATCTTCGCGACGTGGATCTCATAAGGGCCATATCAGTACTGGGGCGAACCGCATGATCACTCGAATTGAGGCGGCACGCAACCCAGCCATCCAGTGGATGTTCTGGAAGCCTGAGACACTAAATCACTTGAGAGACGATATGAAAAATGCACTTTGGGATTTTCGCGCCGGCTAGTGAAGAAAATGCCAACTATATTAAAATTTACTTTTCCCAGCTGCCATAACAAGGTATATTGTCACAAAGCCAAAGAGAATCCCTCACAAGACCCACAGGGTTTGTCTATATTGCAAAGTAATACATGGCTCCAAATGCTTTGGGCACAAAGGTGAAGAGGACATGAGATGAGAATACACGTGAGAGAAACAGATCGCTGTAGGAGTAGAAAGTCAAGATGCTCGAGGGGTATGTATGAGCTTCATCTTGAGCAGAAGAAGATTCGTAAAAGACTGTCCAGTCGGATATGTACGGAGCGGCCAAGGACTGCAATCAAGATGACTGCGCAACGGCAAGAGATGATGGCATAGCCGTTTATTTCTTGTGTCTGTCAGCCTGAGCCTTCAGGTACTTCTGAATGAGTTCCTTCCTATAAGAAGTTGTCAGTGATTGTTCAGAGCGGCACGTTAGCAATCAGGAGTGAAAGGATTGCACATACTGTAATTGAGGTTGAGCCTTCTCGTAGTGGCTGAACTCCATGGTAAATTCACCCTTGCCCTGGGTGGCAGCACGCAGATGCGTACTGAAGCCGAACATTCCGTTCAAGCTGCAGTCCGCATACACGGTGAACTCATCCACACCGGTCTCGGTATCATTGATAGTGGCATTACGCTTGTTGAGGAGAGAGATAACGTCACCTTGGAACTCGCCGGGAGCGGTGACAACGATCTTCATCATGGGCTCAAGGACAGAAGGGTTGCTTTCCATGAAAGCCTTGCGGAAGGCCTGTTGGGTAGCGTTCTTGAATGACATTTCAGACGAATCTGTCATGTGGGTAGCACCGTCGTTGATCACCATCCTGGTACCAAGCACCTTGTGACCAATGAGCGGACCCTTTTCGCAAGCAAGGTTGAAACCCTTCTCACAAGCAAAAAGGAACTTCTCGGAGATACTTCCGCCAACAATCTGTTCCTCAAATTTGTTGTCCTCAAGTTTGCCGGTGGGCTCCATCCAGCCGACGACGCGGGCGTATTCACCAGGACCTCCCGATTGTTTCTTGAGCAAGTGGTCGAACTCGACTCGGTTGCCGATGGTCTCGCGGTACGCGACCTGAGGCGGGCCAGTCACACAATCGACGCGGTATTCGCGACGCATGCGTTCGATGTAGATGTCAAGATGCAATTCACCCATGCCAGAAATCAGAGTCTCCTCACTCTCCGCATTGTAGGACACACGGAAGGTGGGATCCTCTCTCTGGAAACGAGCCATAGCTTTTGAGAAGTTGGCGGAGTCCTTGTTGTTCTTTGGCTTGATAGAAAGCGAGATGACAGGTTCGGGCACGAACATGGAAGTCATGGTGTAACCGAGCTGTCCATCGGTGAAAGTGTCGCCAGAGGCGCAATCCACACCGAACACGGCGCAGATCTCACCGGCTCCGATCTCTGATACCTCCTCCATCTCATTGGAGTGCATGCGAACAATGCGAGGTACCTTGACCTTCTTGTTGTTGCGAGCATTGAAGACGTTGGAACCCTTGCGGAGGGTACCTTGGTACACGCGGATGTAGGTCAACTGCCCAAAATTGCTTTCTTCCAGCTTGAAAGCAAGACCAACAAAAGGCTGGGAGTTGTAGGGGACAAGCTTGACGGAGGCCTCGTCCCGCTTCCGGTCAAGAGCGAGGTTTTCGACTTCGGACGGATTGGGGAGGTAGTCGATAACACCATCAAGCATGGGCTGCACAGACTTGTTGGCAAGTGCAGAACCCATGAAGACGGGAGTGAACTTCAAGCCAATGGTCGCTCGCCGGATGGCGGCCTTGAGCTGCTGCTCCGTAGGCTCAGTCTCGTCCAGGAAGAGCTCAGCAATCTCGTCGTCGACATCGGCAAGCGTCTCAATGAGCATCCTTCTCCGTTCCTCCACAACTGACTTGACCTTCTCAGGAATCTCATCCTTAATCACGATATTCTCACCGCTCGGTCCCTCGTTGTAAATGGACTTCATACGAATCAGGTCGACCACGCCCTCGAACTCGTCTTCAGCACCAATTGGCACTTGGACGGCAGCAGCAGGGATCTTGAGCTTGGTGTTGATCTGTTCAACGGCCTTGAAAGGGTTGGCACCCATACGGTCCATTTTGTTGACGAAGGAAATTCGAGGAACGTTGTAGCGGCGCATCTGGCGGTCGACCGTGATAGTCTGAGACTGGACACCTGACACAGCGCACAGGATCATGACAGCACCATCCAGAACGCGCAGCGCTCTCTCCACTTCGATGGTGAAGTCGATGTGGCCTGGTGTATCGATCAGGTTGATGTGGTATTTCTCCTCTTTTCCATCCTCTCCCTTCTTTACCCAGTCACAGAACGTCGCTGCGGACTGAATAGTGATACCCTTTTCACGCTCGAGATCCATCGAGTCCATCTTGGCACCAACATTGTCACGACCGCGAACTTCGTGGATGGCCTTGATACGACCAGTGTAGAAGAGGACTCGTTCGGTACAGGTAGTTTTTCCGCTGTCAATGTGTGCCTATAAGTACTGGTCAGATGCTGTGTCTCCACGGGAATGCTCTAATTTCCCGGAAGATGACTTACAGCGATACCAATGTTCCGGAGACTGGACAGTCTGATCGCTTCAGCAGGGTCAAGATTGTCAATGATCGCCTCCTGAGACAGACCGTCGGGATTGGAAGCGGCGGCCTCGAGACTGAGCAGAAAAACGAGATTAGCGATTGAACATACAAAGCACAAGATAATCTAGCAATTCGAGGGGAGGTTCAATGATCACTAGAAGATCCAAACTACTTACACAGCGGCAGCAGTAGCAGCGGAGGCATTCCGTCGTTGCAAATTGTTTCTGTTGAAAACCGACTGATAAGCCGGGCCGGCAATGGGTGAACGGAGAGCGGCCGTCGACGCGCATCGTTGATACAAAAAGTTCTGAGATTGAAGACGCACAGGCGATCTGGTCAAACCAGATAGAGCACGGTGAGGTAACCGCGCAAGAGAAGGACACCGCATGATTGCCAACCACCACCACGGGAAACTGGGGAGTGCTGATGCTGCTGATACTCTCAGCGTCGCGATCTTTTTTTCTGCTCCGAAAAAAAGTTCGGGGAAGCCAGGAACAAAGCACGTGATCTCCCCGGTCACGACCAATGAGATCTGAGAGGTCCTGACTATTTCTACGGTCTACCTTGTACTCTGTAAGGTTCATATGACTGACAATCTGGGAGCTACTATGGCAATAAATATTACGATTATCTCAGTTTTGCATCAAACAAAATGGTCGAATCTCAGTTGCTGCGGAAATAGTTCGCCGCCAAAACTGGTCCCAGGTTCACTTCCTTCGCGAATGCATCAAGATCATACCTTATCCTCTGCCAGTTACCAACGGGCTTTCCATTCTTTGGAGCATACTTCTCGACATTGAAGCCGTCCGGTTGCTCGTACAGCAAGAAAACATACCGGTGCGGCGAGCTGCCTGGTGGAGGCGCAGGGCCGATGTAGTTCGCAACGAAAGGGGCAGATGTTGTCAAGATGGTCTCGCCCGTGACAGTGGTATTCGCCGATGGCTTAAATCCTGGATGAATCCAGTGTAGGATGGGTCCTAGGAAGCCGAGTGATGGAAATGGAGCATCGAGGTCCAGACTGATGACAATATAGGTGCCAGATGATACGTTGAAGGAAATCTGGGGCTCTTTTTGTGCATCTAGATGCAGAGTTCGCGCATCAGTAACTAGACTATCGTTTTCTTCAGCCTACTAACCACTTCTAGGAAGGTATTGGCCGGGCGTCGTGATGCGTTGCTCGCCGAATGCCAGGCCAAGAAGCTTGGAGCTATCCTTCTCGGCAGCAGACAAGACGGCTTCGACGGATGAAATAGACGGCATTTTGAATCGATTTGTCGATGAATACGAACTTGCCTATCTCGACAAAGGTGCCAAGTTCATAGATGAAGCCAAGTAATAAGAGTCAGATAAATGAAGGAGGGGTCTGTACAACCTGCCCATGGGTGGCTCGGTGTTAACGGGCTTAATGGAGGTGACAGAGTTAGGCGTCCCATCAACTCTATGTAGCGTTGCCTTCATGTGGTTCTCATATCGACAATACTATTATCATTGATCTGTCTGCCCTGCGATAGGGAAGAATAGATACATGAAGCTCTCTCTGTCAAAACCACTCCACTAGGTAGGCAGGCATACATAGGTACCTCGTAAAGGACCTAGGTATGATGTATCGTATGCGACTGTATGATACAAGACAGTACACCACTTGAAAATCTATTTCACCGCCTTGCTTCCGCCGCCATTGGATTACTATCATCTGAATATGTCATGGATATTTTCGAGTATACCTAGCAGGGTACCGTCGACAAAGCAGATTGAGGCATCTTGATGGTTGATGTCGTCAGTTTTCCATATCTCGACTTAGGCAGCTTTTGAAAAGATGCGTTCATCTTTGAGACTGCTTGCCTCTGTCTCCCGCAGCCAGCCTTCAAAACTCAGGAAGCCAGCAATTAGCTTGGATCATGTATGTAAATCTATCCACATCAAGCATCCTTGAAGCTATATTGATGCGACTGTTAGTTCATACAAAGACAGCGTGTCCTCGGTCTATGGCGCGAGATAGTCAGGGCGCTGAACAGTTAGTCTCCCGTATTCGGAATTCTAGATCTGAGTTGCCATGCCATTTGAGGCTTGCAAGCTGATTGATATCTCGACTATAAAGAGATTCCTGAATCATCGACTCGGGATGAGTTACGCAGCTATGCTCGTTCAGGATTTGAGCGGCATCGCAACGTAACCGACTTGGTGAGTATCTGCTAAACGGCCAGAAGCTCATAGCTAACTTGTCACTTGCTTGTAATAAAGCAACATATACGATATCTCATCTCGGTATGAGGCATTGCCCCATTGCCCCTGAGTTCTAAGCTTGGCGACTGACAATTTGATAGACTGGAAAAGCCGAGTTCGAAACTATGAAACGGTATATCGACGAACAAATCGCGAGTTGAATCGATCTCGTCGGAGTCGACCCATGAGTCGCGTCTGCTACGAGGCATCTGGCTCAAACTTGGCTGGCGAAGGAGAGCTTCTCTTATTCTTACAGGACCCTGAAATGTATATATGTACATGTTATAGCGAGGCACCACAATTGTAAATGACTGACTTTCGTAATGTCGAAGTTCACTTTTGCTGCATCCATAAATCTTTCACAGCAGCTAGTACCCCGATCGACTTTTCATCAGCAGGCTCAATAGCTGACCGAGCAGCGTCCTGCTCTGGAATATTTTTCGGCGCTGGCCTCTTGCCCGCTTCCTTAGCAGCAGCTTCAATGGCAGCATGACGCTCCCTCCAGTCCTTATCTTCCTTGTCTCGGATTTCAAGTTCACGCAACCAAGCATCCCGCTTCTCCTGTGCCTTCCGCTGCTCCACCATCTTCTCGAACTCCCTCCGTTGCTGGCGCTCCGTCTTGAAGTACATGCCTCCGGCAACAACAGCGACAAGTGTAAAGAATTGGGCGTAGATACGAGCACGGAACATCTTGTTCATTTCGACCGAGTCACCGGCCTTCATCGACCTGTAGGCGCGGTAGAGGGCATAGCATGTGGCGGCGCATCCTGAAACGCAAAAAAACCCACGTTAGACCGGAGCTACAGCAAGATGTGTATCTCAACTCAACTTACCTAGCGGGATCAATGGTTCCTCCTTGAGTCGTCTGCGGAATTTCTGGAGAGAGGTTTCCTCCTTGAAATGGCTGGTGGTTTATGATTGGTTAGCAATCCTGTTCCTCCGCGTCTCAACAGGTAGCGACGAAGAGGATCCGGTACGTACGGGTTGTCATCCATGGAGGAAGGAAGGGGTTCGTTGAGCATCTTGTCTTTGGATGAGGTATCACGGGGTGAGTTGTTAGGTTCGTAAAGAAGTTATCGAGCAGCCGCGGAATTGATGCGAGGGTGATTGACACGCCACTATTCCAAATCCAACTGGAAATGAAGGAGAGCTGTGCAATGAGTCCAGGCCTTGCAATGATCAAATAGAAATGGAGCGATTGAATGATTCAAGCAGGTTGTTTTCTCTAACCGCTCACTCTTTCCAAATTAACGAAAGCAGATGTCGCCTCAATCTATCGAATTTCCGCGAGACAACATGACGTTGCGGAGAATCTGGAGATCTTTGCGGTAAAATTCAGTACATGTATCGTACGTTACCATAGCCTTTTTTTTTACATTGTTTACTGACAGCCAGCGATTTTGAAGCTGTTTACACCAGAGGTACATTGTGGAAAGAGGAATCAAGGCTAAATAAGATGGGCAAGTCCTGCGTATAGGTAGGTAACTACTTGTTCTATCTTTGTAGCTGAGGATAATGCTAGACCTGCTCTCATGACTGGAGACTATCTACTTTCTTACACAGAAACTACGGATGATACACGGGCTCGCAGAAAACAAACTGAATTTAGGCTTATTTTAATTCACGACCGACTTCCATTGCAGAGAAGTCACTTGAACGTCAGGGGTTTATAGTTAGCCAAGCTTTCCGACAATCAGACTCATTAGTAGTCCGCATCATCTGAGAGGTATGCCAGTGGCCACATATGTGGTTGGTACGGGTTATTGCAGATTGCGCCAAAATCAGACCATCCAGAAGGACGTCCACAATTTAGGCTCGGATATGAGTATACCAAGATAATACTTAACAGGTCTCACTTTGTGATAAGGAAATGATTCAACAAGATGGCGCAGAAGATACTTTTACCTGCAGAGAAATTAGGGCTCAAGGTGAGGGCTGATGAGTCAACCAATTCCGCTCCGATAACGGCATTCTAGAAGGGTGGCCCCGCGGGAAGGATTAATGTTTGTCGAAGGCGTGATTGTGCCACTACCAGCGAATTTTTGATATCGCCGCTGACTCCTTGGATTGCGTTCTTCTGACTCTAAATCGCAATCAGTGTCTTCAGCTTCAGAGACAGGCCTCATTATGCCCGATCAACCTGCCACGAACGGAACGACAACTCCGGTCACTCCAAAGCTGAGCAATCTCGCTCTGACTGAGTACACCGCCGCTCCCACTCCCCCTTCGGAGAAGGATCAAAACACCGCGCTGGGCTTATCCCGTGACTGGGGAATCCCAGCTGCATTTCTGCTCCCCAATGGCTACCCAGATGTAAGATTCTAACTCAAATGGATTCGTTTCCAGGAAATAATTAACCACAATCCTAACGACACAGTACCTCCGCCTTATCCTGACGTCACGGGTCTACGATGTTATTCAGGAGACACCGCTCCATCATGCCATCAACCTTAGCAATCGTCTGGAATGTCGTGTGCTCCTCAAGCGGGAGGACATGCTCCCTGTATTCAGCTTCAAGCTCCGTGGAGCTTACAACAAGATGGCGCATTTGACCCCCGAGCAGCGGTGGAAGGGTGTTATTGCATGCTCCGCAGGTCAGAGCCTTTCGCCGCGGTGACTCACCTCGAGGAGAACTGACGCGTATATAGGTAACCACGCACAAGGCGTTGCATTCTCCGCTCGCAAGCTCAAGATCCCCGCGACCATCGTCATGCCCTCGGGCACCCCTGCCATCAAGCATTTGAATGTTGCCCGTCTCGGCGGCAGTGTCATCCTTCACGGAAACGACTTCGACGCTGCCAAGGAGGAAGCTCATCGACTGGAGAAGCAGCACGGGCTGACCAGCATTCCTCCCTTCGATGATCCGTACGTGATTGCGGGACAGGGTACCATTGGAATGGAAATCGTGCGCCAGGCAAACTTGGAGAAACTCGAGGCTGTTTTCTGCGCTGTCGGCGGAGGGGGGCTCGTTGCCGGTATCGGGGTTTATCTGAAGCGCATCGCGCCGCATGTGAAAGTCATCGGAGTCGAGGCCTACGATGCCAATGCCATGGCCCAGTCGTTGGGTGAGGGATCTCGAGTCTTCCTTAGGGAGGTTGGACTGTTTGCGGACGGTGCGGCTGTGAAGACTGTTGGCGAGGAAACATATCGTCTTGCCCGTGAGGTAGTTGACGAGGTCATCTTGGTTTCGACCGACGAGACGTGTGCCGCCATTAAGGATGCCTTTGAGGATACCAGATCTATCATCGAGCCCGCGGGTGCCCTGGCACTCGCCGGTCTCAAGAAGTACATCGCCCAGAACCCTAGCCCTGACACGAACAGAGAGCTGGTTGCCATCACATCTGGCGCAAACATGGATTTCGACCGCTTGCGTTTTGTCGCTGAGCGTGCTGCTTTGGGAGAGCGGAAGGAGGCGCTGCTAAGCGTCAACATCCCGGAGAAGCCTGGTGCTTTCGCAAATCTCGTCGAGGTGATCCTTCCTCAAGCCGTGACCGCCTTCAGTTACCGTTATGCTCGTGCGGAGTCTGCCGATGTCCTGATGGGTATCTCCTTGTCTGCGCTGACAGGTCGCGAAGACTTGGCGAAGATTATGGATCAGCTCGAAAAGGCCGGCATGCCCGCGAAGGATTTGAGCGACGACGAGCTTGCCAAGCGACACGTGCGTTTCCTGGTTGGAGGACGCTGCGACGTCAAGGATGAACGTCTTTTCATGTTCGAATTTCCAGAGCGCCCGGGAGCTTTGGCCAAGTTCCTCACCACGCTCCGGCCTAACCAGAACATCTCCCTGTTCCACTACCGCAACTATGGTGGCGATGTCGGAAAGGTACTGGCAGGCATTCAGTGCCCAAATGACGAGAAGAAGGATCTGGAGGCCTTCCTCAAAGACCTCGGCTATCCGTTCAGCGAGCAAACCGACTCTCCCACTTACCAGACATTCCTCCGTTGTTAAAAATGTGCATCGGCATTCTTCGTTATTTGCGTTTCTGCTAGAGGGCATACTTGACAGGTTCGGGTTGCTGATTTTCCTCTCGGGATGAAAAGAGTCTTTATTTTCGTCGGCGTTCGGATCGAGGCATCAGATAGATTAGAGACTGAAGCCTGCTTTTAATGAACTGGCTTGCATATAGTAATGGATTTCAATTCTCATCTGCTTGAGATTACAAGGCGGAATGATATCATAGCAGCAGCGGATCGGCTGTAACCGTCAGTTTCACGACCATCAGAAGCGACAGATCCATCGTTGGCTTGGAATCCAGTCACTTTCAAGCTGTCTGTTGGATGCCACTCCCTTATGTCCTGATCTTTATACAAGTCACCGACGGCCCCAGCGATCCCTGCATTCTATGTCGTACCACTTCTGGGTCCAGTAATTCCAATTCTCGGGAGTTTCTCGAGGTTGATCTCCACGTTTATAAATCGAGAAAGCAAGCTTTCTTTCTTTACCCCACATCGCCGGATAGATCCATTCTCCGCGAGCTATTGCCTTTGAAGCGTCAAAGTCGAGATATCCGGTGTGTTCGTCGCCCTCATCGACCTCTATTTCGGCGTCGACCATTCGTCCGCCCCACTGGAGGTACACACGATTCGGTTTGGGCGTCTCACCCAGCCGGCGTCTGATAGCTTGTCCTCCCGGTGATCCGCTTGCTTTGCGTTTTTTCGAGTTCGAGCCATAGCTATCGGATTCATCTTCCTCTTCCTCTTCGTAATAGGTCAACTCAGGAGGCTGTTCTTTACGGAGACGGTGCAGTGCATCATCAGAAAATGCTAGCAGCATGGTTCCTTCAATGAGACCAAGGTTGAACGCGGCCACTACTCCATTTGCGCTTGCTGGTTTCTGGATTTCGAGCGTCAAGTCGTCATGGTAATTACCCAGGTGTTCATCTATTGCTTCACAGAGAATGGAATACGACCCCACGAGATCATCCAGCTTCAGCGGACCAGCGGGAGGACGGTAGCTTTTCATATAATCCCGATGAGGCTGCAACGCCTTGTGCCAGCATTTTCGCCTTTCTGCGCGCTCTTTGGCTTCTTTTTCAGCCTTTTTTTGTTCTCTTTCATCTTCGTGTCCTTTCTTGATAGCCGTGACTTTGGCCATGTCCCAGCCAACGATCGTGTACTCACAGTCCGCACCTTCAACCCGTATAAGGTGTAGCCCTGGTACGGACTGTACAACAGTTATGAGGCGTGGCAGATGCTCAAAGAACGTGTAGAGCTCGATTGCTTCGGTGGTCTTCGTCGGATCAGGCTTACCATTCAAGCCGTCAAGGAAATATTTTGCCATGAAACGGTCAAGGTCGAAATTAGCCTCGCTTGTGGGGATGTGCAACGGAGCACCAGGTGCAGAACAAGTTGCGAAGGCAGCGTCGAGTCCGCGCGCGAAGGTATCTTCCCATCCAACTACAGTCAGTCGCCTCGTTACACGCGCGACAAGACCTGGTACTGCCTGCACAGCCTTTGAGAAATCCGATCCATCAACATCTTCAAGTATCAACGCCTCTCTTTGCTTCTCTTTATCTGGGGCCCCGCTCGGTCCGAGGAAATACTTTGCAAGGAACAAGCGAGGATCAAAGCGAGCCTCGCGAGATGGAGAATCCAGCGTTGCAAATTTAGCCGCGCGTTGACAGCCGATGCGTTCCTCACGAGCTCTTTCCAGGTTGCTGTACTGTTCAGCCAGGGACCTTTCGATGGCCATGACAGCTGGTGTCGGATTTAAGCACTTGGGCGATCAGTTCCACGTCATCGTAGTCGAATCCGCTTTTCTCACCAGCCTGTTCTTCACCGCCGTCTCTAGAGCATTCTTTAATTGAGCTGCACTAGCATTCGCTTGAAAAGGGACTCCGTAAAGACGTAACTGCGCTGTGACCCACGGCTTGGTTGCAGACCTGACGCGAGCACTAGACGCATTATTGCGGAATAGCAGTCTCAACTCCTCAAAAGGTACTCTGGTAAAACCTCCTGCTTTGATGCCGTCTTTGTCGTAGGTAAAGACGCCTGACTTCAGGGGCTCCGGCGGCGAAGAATCATAGTACTGGTGATACATCTTTGGAGACGTGGTGCGAGCAGTTCTTGCAATTGTTGACAGGTAAGTGTTTCTGTTGTTTACGATCTCGGGTTACCTCCGCGACTGAGAAAGGGGAACCCTAGAGTCCTGCCCTAATGGCTGGAATAGGAGGATCATAGGATGCATCAATTCGCAAATCAATAACTGAACGGTTTTTTCTGCATATCACGAAGCGTAGTCGGAGAATGGAGTAATTCTGCCTAGTCTTAGTTAATGTGGCTTACACTCGCAAATAGAACATGCTTGGGTGACATAGCTGGACCGCATCAGTGGTATATTCTTGCCCATCTGGCCATGCACTATCGCATTGCATAGCAGCAGATAACAGCTCTTCGGCAGCTGGAACTACATTGTTCACTTCACCCTTAGTTAACAATGGCTCTACCCAACTTTCATGGACGCTGGGCGTCCATATCCAGAACAGCTCTGACGACACAGGACGGAACAATTTCATTCAGATCGAACGCGACTTCTATTTTGGCCTTGGCTCGGACCATGGCTCTATTCAAAATGCGTCCTTTCGCGCCTGCAGTATCTTCTACCATGGTGCATCCGAGCCTCTCTACTCTGATGCGAACCCGGACGGTCGACGTACTCAGGAACTTTCCGACGATTGCGTTCGAGATCTGACGACCCTAGTGAACAATACTGCGCAAGATCTGATGCCCCAGAATGATCATGATCTATCCAATGTGTGTAAGAAGCTGGTAGAGACAACCACCGGCGATCGGCCAACGTCGTGCCAGAACTATAACCTAGGAGAGTTGCACTTTCAAGGTAAGAATTGATTCGATCAACCTCGTCACTTGGCGTGATCTGATTTACTTGATAGCCTTCATGAATCGCCGGAATACTTCCAGCGCAAGCAGCAGTGGAAACTGCAACTCGTCGTCCGGTGGTGACTATAACCTCACCCTCGTGGATTCGAATGGTTTGGCCAACACCAATGGATCGAGTAATCTGAAGAATATGGTATTGGGTGCCACGCCGATCATCACTGTCTTCTATTCAGAGTCGAATTTGTCTCGACCAGACATCCGGTACGTGGTTGTAAAGCCAGAGGACACCAGTGACTTGATAGGCCAGGTCAGCGGCTCGTTGGCCTCGCGTTTTACTGCACGCACCAAGTTTGCCTTGAGGATTCTGGTCATTGTCTCTGCTTTTCTCTCTGGGGTTATCTGATTGTATATCTTGTTTATACCACTTGAATACGGACCATTTCCATACAGCAGCAGTACTCAATTGACCGCAGGAGAAAAACACCAATGGCATGGAGGAGGAGGCGGGGGATCACAAGGAAAGTCCCCTTGCTTGAAGCGATTCGCAGTAATGGTTTGCAATGGATCAACCTCATGTGCTCCAAGCTTTGTCAAGGCCTTCACAAGAGTATCTTGGCGCCAGCACATGGCCATCACAATGGGCGGCGGATATCCCCTTCGGCTGTAAATAGCGTTGTCGTTCAGCGGCGCGCCGTGGTCAAATAATGCCTTGAGGTATTCAAAATTGCCATGCCGGCACGCCAGACACACGAGGTCTGCCAGTACAGGGCTGTCGTCATCGTCAGGAACTAGCAGGAGACTCAGACGGAGATGCCCGTCATCAAGGATCGTTCTCGCGAGCTTCGCCGCATTTGGCTGGCAACTCAGGATAAACATCACGCCAGTCCAGTCACGGATACCTAGCCGGAGGCCAGCGTCAATGAGGACCTCCATCGCGTCGTAATGGCCGCCCCATGCTACTGCGCGCATTGCCTGCCCACCAGGAGGAACATCGATTGATCTGTTGGCGTGCTCACCGATGCTCGCCCCCCTGGCCAGTAGGAGACGCATTACTCCCACCTGGCCTTTCCAGCCGGCATACGCCAGAGGTCGTGGTTGCTGATAGTTCCTAGTGTAATTGAGCGTCTCATTGACGTCGGCTCCGTTGTCAAGGAGGAGACGGACAAAATCAATGCAGCCTGACCTGCAAGCCTCCCGAAGGCCCTCCGTCAAAAGATAGCGAGATTCAGATAGCGGTGCGGTGTAATGGTCCAGTAGCATCGCCAGAGCTTCTGCCCGATTCATGCTGATCGCCTCGACAATTGCGCGCTGATACGCCACGCCAGAAGTCCTGAGACCGAACTTGGGCTGCAGGAGGAGTTGGAGTATCCCCGGACTCCAGTGTTTAACGGCCAGTGCCACCGGGGAGCCCCAGATTTCATTAGTTGACCCATCTGCGTGCATCCTGGCGCCACGCCGCAGAAGCATCTCTACGATTTTCGGATCGAGGGACTTGACCGCTGCCTCGATAAGTCGATCCTCGAACAGAGCCGACTTGGCATCCTCGAGGATGCGGCGCGCATCCTGCGATAGTTGATCGACAAGTTCAAGGTCCCCATTATACGTTGCTGCATACAATAGTTCATACAACGGGTCAAAATCAATGGCGCCACCTTCAGCCGCTAGAGCGACGCGGCAAAACTTGTGGTTCGCGTGTGATAAAAGTCGCTTCATGAATTGATAACGCAGCTTGTTTCTCTCGCTACCCTTGGTTGAGTCCCGCGCAAGGCGATCCACCCAGTGGTTCATCAGAGATATGATATCAGTATCTGAGGAGTCATCGTCATCCCGTCTCTGATGAAGAAAGTAGGGCACCATAAAGCTTTCCCGTAGGGTACTATTTCGCGTCCAGAATAGGCTATCTGCCTTCAGGATTCTGTTCCTGGCGTATGCAAGCATGATTTCATGGTCGAACAACCCTAGAGGTTCAGCATTCAGCCACGTAACGATCATCAGGGGGAGATGCAGACACACGATTTATCAGGCGAAGTTGGACCGATTGGTGTGTCTGTTGGATAACAATGAAATCGAGGATCCCTTGGAAGATTTCCAAGGGGAGGTCAAACAACGACATATTGACGTTGGATATGCAACACAGGGAGCAACCTATGTCATGAGACTCATGAAGACTAGCGATATATACGTATATAAGTTCGAAAGAAAGAACATCTGGCGGTAGAGTGAGGGGCACTGCTCTCCATCATCCACAGCCACAAACTCGACAAGCTCCGCCTCTTTGCATCTCGGCTGTATTAATGGTGAAGACTCCCGCGAATCCCAAGTTTCCTCTCTCTTCTCAAACTTCCCTTTCACCAGCGAAACCGAGCGTCGTCATTGAGCCGCGCTTCAAGTCTAGTCTAGTCAAGAACAAACTCAGGCTTTTGTTGTTCCGGGTAGTGTGAAGCCCTGACTTCATATATTTCATTTCACCACAATCGAAGGAATCCCGTAGTGGTATCTGATACAGAGGCCTGTCACAGTAGTAACCAACGAAGGAAGTAAATCGTCCATGGAACCTTGACTGCATGTAGTACCTGTCCATGGATTGGTGGACAGTGATGAACCCGGACCTCGGCGATACAGAAACTCCGGCGAACATTTGCTCCGCGGATTTGATGACCTTGGGAGCATGAAGCTGACCATCTGATCCTTCGCACCTCTGAACGGCCGACCAAGAACGAATTGGCGCGGTAAAGGCTATCAGTCCTTTTCGCTCTTCATCACTATGCTGTCTATTCGCTCCATCTTGGGTTCTTCGACCCGGGCCCTCCGCCAACTTCTCCCGAATCAGCCATTCTATCACCACTTCCTCTCGCGGTCACTATCGCAACTATCAAGAGTGTCGGTCGGCAACAGCCTTCGAAGCCTGCGTTCTGCGAAGCAGCAAGATAGCAATGTCGGTGTTGTGGGATCCACTGTGCGACAACTCGAGCAGGTCCGGGGCATGAAGACGAGATCGTCCGTTAAGCGGTTATGCGATGGTTGCAAGGTATGAAATATGCTGCCTGCATGGTCGACATCATACTAACGGCTGGTTGTGAATAGCCTGTTCGGAGGAAGAACCGGGTTTACATTATCTGGTGAGTATCGACGGCTCCCTTTGCATTCGTCACGTCTGACCACGCACAAATGCAGTTCGAAGAATCCTAAGCACAAGCAACGCCAAGGAAAATGATTGCGTGCAACGTACAGCAGAGGAGATGGGGGGACGATATTCATCTACTATTTGAACCATGAAGGAAGCCTTATCGACTGTATCACGGTACGGTGCTTGGTTGGATTCGGCACAGACATGCTTCATTGAACATATGGTTTCGTTGTGATACTCGGGATATGCATGGTCAACTTTATTATTGGTTACTGGTTCCGGCGCTCGTGGTATTTTGTACATTAGACAACTGTCTCACTATGTCACTTCTTTCAGAAGACCATTCTCCTCTACATCTGTTTCGTCTTGGATCCATGCACTCGTCCAACCAACCCCTTCTCAAAGCTGCCAACTTATCCAGCATTCTGCACCTCGAGCTTAAGTGACCTCCAATGCTCTCAGAAGAAGAGCGTCCGAATTCAGATATGGTGTCGCTTCAAGTTGTTACGAGATTTCACCCCTACCACCAAAATCGCGCTGTCACTCTATCGCAGGCCACTGCCATTGTGGATGAACGAGCAATAGCATGCGCACAAGTATGAATCAGTGACTTTCTTGACATAGCACGAGCAAACTTTCCTTTGATGTTGCAAAATTGGGCCCGGGATATTGTCGCTCCCGTGGCTCAAGAATGCGAGATGAACCCCTGCCCTCAGGTATGCTTGTTCTAGGACTCGCAACATTCTCACTAATGCCTGCGACCTCTTACCGCGTGTAGACTATCTAGCAGCCGTTGGGTAAAAGCGAGCTTGGACAGTCTTCACATATCATGGTTCGCTGTTACGCGCAACTCCTGGTCTTAATCCCAGCGAGCGCCGCAACACTGCTATTCTCGCAGCAAACCCTTGATGGAAATAACATCCTCAAACATAATGGTGCAATGGGACCATATGTGGACCGTACCAACTACGGGATCAATCGCGACCCTCCGGCAGGCTGTTCGGTTGACCAGGTGATCATGGTCAAACGTCACGGGGAGCGATATCCCCTCGCAAGCGAAGGACCAAAGATAGAAAAGGCCCTGCAAAAGGTCAAGAAGGCTGTTCTGGACGAGCCTCACGCCGATGGTGATCTAAACTTTGTCAAGAATTGGACCTACTTCGTCCCTTCAAGTTGCCACTATGACAAGGAAACCACCACTGGACCGTACAACGGTATCCAGGACGCTTACAGGCACGGCGTGGACGCGCGCAATCGATACGGCCACCTTTGGGACGAAGAGACGATTGTGCCTCTGTTCGCTAGTGACGCCGGCCGTGTCGTGGATACGGCTCGAATGTTCGGGGAGGGGTTCTTCGGTGATGAAGAGTATAAGACGAAAGCGGCTATCAATATCATCTCCGAATCGGCTCGTCAGGGCGCGAATGCCCTATCGCGTACATGTCATGCTCGTGACCACAACGCGCAGCGCATATGCGATGCCTGGCCACAGTCATTGCCCCAGCTTGAGGGTGCGGCGCAGCGGCTCAATGCCCAGTATCCCAGTCTGAACTTGACGTCGTCGGATATATTCTGGTTGATGAGTGGGCCGCTCCTTTAGAATCTGCTGGCTTGTTTACCATTTGCTAACCTCACAAGCAATGACATCCTATGAACCCAGTGTCCGTGGACATTCGGATTGGACGGGTGTGTTCACCATGGATGAATGGGTCAGCCTAGGGTATATCTGGGATCTGCACTTTTACTATTGCGCCGGGTATGCCAATGTCACACTTTCAGCCGGTACATGATCAGCGTTGACTTTGAATTACTCCTAGGCCTGGAAACAAGATGATGAGTCCAGTTGGCTCCGTATACGTCAATGCTAGTCTCGCTCTTCTCGAGCAGGGACCTTCAGCCGGCACACTGTTCTTTAACTTGTATGTGGACCCCCTACCATCTGCCTCCGCAAGTTCTGCTGATATCCATACCTGCAGTGCGCACGATACCGATATCACCCCCATCATCGACGCACTGGGTATCCTCAACCCCCCCGAAGATCTTCCAACTGACCGTGTCGCCTTCGGCCATTCATGGTCGAGTAGTGAGCTGGTGCCAATGGGAGGCCATCTCACCATGGAGCGACTGAGTTGCAACGCCACGGCAATCTCGCCTACGGGAACGTATGTCCGATTAGTCTTGAACGAAGCCGTAGTGCCGTTTCGTGCCTGTCAGTCTGGTCCAGGCTATTCCTGTCCCTTGGAGGAGTATGCCTCGATTCTGAAGCAAGATTCACCGGATTACGTCTCGCAGTGCGAGATTCCAGAGTCGAATCCTCAGCATTTGAACTTCTGGTGGGATTATAGTACGTCGACTACGGATAATCACCGTGATGAGACAAAGTGTGATTAAGACGTTTGATCAATGGCCGATATTGTCATTACTGTGACTTGAAAATTACAGATTCCCATTCAAATGTTGTCCAAGTATCCCGTATGATTTAGCCTCTCTACGACTGCAATGGCTCACCCATACCTCCAAAAGTCACGCTCTTGATCGTAAGGAACTCGTCGATTCCGTACTTGCTGCCCTCACGGCCGAAGCCACTCTGCTTAACACCACCGAACCTAGTGAAAGTTAGCACAACGCAGTAGCATTCGGTCCGACAGGGACACTTACGGAGAGGCGACATCGCTAATGAGTCCTGTGTTGACCCCCACCATACCGACCTCCAGCGCCTCCGCAACCCGGAAAATACGCTTGACGTTACCACTGAAGAAGTAACCCGCGAGTCCGACCTCGGCACTATTGGCCAGCTCGACAACCTCTTTCTCGGTCTCAAAAGGGAAAATTCCAGCCACGGGGCCGAATGTCTCCTCGGAGGCTATCAACATATCCTTGCTCATCTCCGCGAGGACAGTCAGCTCGTAGAAGGTGGGGCCCAACTCGGGGACTCTTTGGCCTCCGGCGACAAGCTTAGCTCCCTTGGCTTGAGCGTCCTTGACGTGCTGGTCGACTTTCTCGGCGGCGCGCTCGTGGATGAGCGGGCCGTGAGTGACGCCATCCTCGAAACCGGCGCCCAGCTTGAAATCCTTGACCTTTGCGGCGAAGCGCTTAACGAATTCATCGTACACGCCTCTCTGAACGTAGATCCGGTTAGCGCAGACGCAGGTCTGGCCGGAGCTACGGAACTTGGAGGAAATGGCTCCGGCGACTGCGGCATCGAGGTCCTCGACATCATCAAACACAATGAATGGTGCGTTTCCGCCGAGTTCCCAGGATACCTTCTTTATAGTAGACGAAGCCTGCTTCATGAGCAGTCTACCGACATTGGTCGAACCGGTGAACGAAACCTTCCGCACTTCAGGATGAGTCGTGATCACCTCTCCCACCTCCGGTGTGTTTTTCAGTGAAGTCACGATGTTGACCACGCCCTTAGGAATACCCGCACGATGAGCCAGCTCTGCAAGAGCATTCGCGGTGAAGGGTGTTTCGCCAGGAGTCTTGCATACAACCGTGCAACCAGCGGCCAGAGCCGGTCCGATCTTTCTTGTGATCATAGCAGCGGGGAAATTCCACGGAGTGATCAAGCCGCAGACACCGACGGGCTGCTTCAACGTCATAACTCGGTTACCGGGAACTGATGCGGGGATCGTGTCGCCGTAAACACGGGGTGCTTCTTCGCTGAACCATTCGAAGAAGCTGGCTGCGTAGTTCACCTCGCCCTTGGCGTCAGCTAGGGGCTTCCCGTTCTCCCATGTGATCAATGTTGCTAAATCTTCTGCATTATCCATCATCAATTGGTACCATCGTCGCAACATGCGGGCTCGCTCGCGCGCTAGGGTTGCGCGGAACTTGGGAAAGGCAGCTGAGGCGGCCTCGATGGCCTTTTCTGTGTCGAGGACGTCGAATTCGGGACATGTGCCGATAAGTCTTCCGGAGGCGGGATCTAAGTTGGACATGGGATAAGTTTCATTCTAACACAGGAGAGCAATAGCCTTACCATGAACTTCGAATGTCTTTCCTGACTCTGCGTCTACCCATTCTCCGTTGACATAGGCCTTCTCAATGAAGAGAGACTGGTCTTTCAGCTAAAGCAGCAGTTGTGAGCTCGTTCCCATAAAATGCAAGCCTCAATCAAGAGCGTCCTTACCGGAGGTACAACATGGCTTTTTGAGTATAATCTTTTGGCATGAAGCGTAGGAACGGCGAAGGGATACCGAGCTCGCGATCTCAACAATTGCCGTGAAACCGGACGGATAATCCTCTCCATGGTGATAAATGATGAACCCTCAAAGGGACTAAGTGGCCTTCAGTCGCACAGGGATCTCAGGACAACAAAAAACGATAATCGATATGATTCTCCTCGCTATCTCTGTATGCGGGGAAGGTCGTGAAGCTCTTCCACCAATGGAGTCCTGGAATGTTAGGGAATGAAAAGACCTTAGAAATGCTTTATCTACTGGAGAAGGGGATTAAGTTATCTTTATACTTTCTAGAATCGAGAAAAATATGGATCCAGCGATGAGTATGTAAAATAAATGCTAATCGTAGCTCCGAGGCCGTCAAGCATTCATTACCACTCCGTCAAGCGGGGAGCTGTCCATCACGTGGGTCGACGTCATTCTAGCACTCATTTATACCACAAACTCCCTGATATTCCCATGCTGGACTTGATTATTTGAAGAATACGAAACTGTGCACGTTGTATATTCGCCAATTACAGTGATAGACAATAGCTGCTCTGTTGAAGATCAGAGTCCTGTTCAACAACCCCAAATTTCGATATCAAATACATCACCGTATTGATAAAACACGGACAGAATTGCGGACCTGAGCTCGGCACTTCTGTCCAGTAATGTTCGATTATTCAAACAGCTCCGGTAGCCCTAGCCAATGGCACAACTCAAGAACACCGACCTACTGCAGTAAATTACAAAATGTGACCGAAATAGTTTACCTTATCAATGAATCGCCTAAAGGGGACCATACAGCTGATGCACAGGGTTGATCCATTAGCACCTGAATCCAGTGGATATCTAGTGTTCGAACTTGGTCTTCAAATGCATTAATTTCAGCAACATGTTTGCTAACCGCTCACTGACGGAGCGCGGGACCTGGCGGTTGAAGACTTGACACTGGCGCTTCTGGACCGGTATCCGGCATGCATTCGCTTCATATGCAAGTTGAGATTCCATGTCCGAGTGAAACCATCGATATGGCGGGGACATGACTTGATGGGACACACTATGTCCTGCTTGCGATGCTGCCCTTTGCCTTTGAGTCGTGGCGTGCTTCCAGCTGCCTCCGATGTTGGACTCACGGGACGAGAAGTTGAGCCAACTGTAGACGCTGCACGGGAGCGCGCTTTTCGAGACTGAGCTCGACTAGGAGGGGAAGACTCAATTTGTGGTTCTGGCTCTGGCTCATCGGGCTCGTCCTCGACATACTCCCATTTGTTGACATATCCCTCCTTCGAATGCCGTAGCTGACCCTCCCTGAAGGTCTGGAATTCCATATCCTCGCTGAAAAGAGCCGCACATCTGCGAGCGGTTCTCATAACCGCAGCATGCGGCAGGCCTATCATGGAAGCAATACCTAACACTTCGCTCCAGTCGCGAAGTCCCCGACGAATGCGACTGGCTGATCGCCTGCGATCACTATCAAAGGACCTTCCACGAGAACGAGAGGCAGTGCGTGCGCTCGACGCAAGTACGCTGCGAGATCGGCCTGTCGTGGATGTGGCCCGCATGGAGGATCTGCGAGTTCGTTTGCGCCCTCTTGACTGACTCCTTTCTCCCTTCTCGCCCTTCTCGCCCTTGCGCCTTTTCCTGGAATGAGATGCATTCGAAGCGACACTCTCCGTGTCACTTTGCCATTCACTGGCAGAGCTATCGTCTCCCGCCACTCCACCTTTGCGAGCATGGTGCAGACCCATCAATAGCTGGTCGAATCGGGTAAGTATGTTCCGCGTAAGAGGTCGTAGCTGTCGTCGAGATTTGTCATCATCGGCTTGGACTACCGGACGAAGTTCGATGGCATCCGTAGAGTCGACGTCACTTTCCCGTTCACTCTCTCTACCGGTGGTTTCGTCGTTCGTTCTGGACATAGATCGTGCCCTCCGCTTTGAAGTTGAACCGACGCCTTTAGTCGTCCAGTCTCTCGCCTGAAACCGATCCTTGGCAGTCTTGAGCATGATTGCTATAATTGACTCTTCCAGCTCCGCGCTGGGCCGAGGATCCGGCGGCATTCTCAATGTCCATTCATCATCAATTTGTCTTCGAAGATGCTCTCCTGCACGAGGGACTTCCGTCGCCGGTACAGGCCACGCTGTCCAACGTTTCGAAGGGACAAAAGCTTCCGTTTCGTCCAGCTGCTTATCACTCTCTAACGCTTGCCGTGCAATCTCACGTGCCCTAACCCGTAAGGCAAAAGCATTGTAGAGATGAGCGGCAAGGTCTCTAGCTCTGAGTTCCTCTAGTGCCTGTGCATTCTGCCGGTCTTCAAACGTAAGCTTTCTCCACGTAGACTCAGGCCCACGGAACCTATTAGGTCTGTATGAGGGCGATGACGGCGGACTGTCAGGGTGTTGCTTGCTAGGCGGAGCCACTATTGCGGCCTTCTTCTTCGATAATTTGTGCGAATCCCCATCATTGCTCGCCTCATCGTCGGACACAGAACCGTCGTCCTCACTTTCGACATACGTCTCGTCATCTGAGTGATCGTTTTCAGTCAACGGAACCTCTTCCATGTCAACGTCTGAATCATGCTGATCCAAGCGATCTCCGCTCTCTTGTGTCTCGGGGTACAGTTCCAGATCAGCCACATCTTGGCTACTTGGGCCTCCGAATAACGATCTGTACGGTTGTGCTGATTGGGGAGGACTGAAGCGTGAGGGCTGGCTTCCAAATACCGAGGACATTTTTTTTAGTCTAAGACTTTCATACGCCTCTAAGTATCAGGAATGTATTGACTGATAATCACTTATACGTGGCGCTGAAGTAATATGATGAAAATTGCCCGTCTTTTAGCATAGTAGTAGGGCCAAAATCAAGTGTGCCTTGTCCGTCGGATCGGATCATGACCTCATTCAGAAGCGTTGGGTAGAAGGTTGCTAAAACAGCGCAAGTTCCTCAGGAGTAGAATTTCAGCGGACATGGCTTGAAAACATGGCTTTTATTGCGGAAAGATCTCGAGACTTATGCGTTTTGATTACATGTAGGAATTCGCATCCAGACGAGAACCAGAAAAAGAAATTGATATCACGTGACATACGAACAGCTACAGCCTCAGGTTCCAGGATCGAGTTTTGGCAGACCTACTCCGTATGTTTGAGAATATAGAGATACGGTTCGTACAGATACCTGGAGGAAAATCTTAATATACGACGTTTATATGCTGAAATTAGTACAAAGCCAAGGAATGACGCCATAAGATTGAATGTCCCCAAATTCCAGAAAAGGATATCATCTTGTCGCCAAAAGCATGCTCCTAACTTTTATCTAATGGACTCATTTTTCCGCCTCCTTCTCAAGCTTCCTCCTCTTTGAACGCAGCTTCGCCGCTTCCTCGGATTGCTTCTTGTTCGAGTAGATCATCTTCTCAAGCAACTTGCGCTTCTTACGGCTCATCATCATCTTCTGTCTCTCCAGCTCTTCCTCCTCCTTGCGCTTCTTGGCAGCGATCTTCTTAGCCTGGGAAGACTTCTTCTTGGATGCGTCGCTAGTAGCACCGTTGGAAGAGAAGGGAAGACCAGCAGCCTCAGCCTCGAGTTCCTTCTGGTGCTGCGTGCGAGCCGCTTCCTCTTCGTCCTCTGATTCGGAAGCAACCTCTTCATCTTCAGATCCACCAAAGTCTTCATCTTCTTCTTCACTTTCGCTCTCGTCATCGTCGGTACCGGCAACATCCATACCACCGTCGACAGACTCGTCCTCATCTTCACTTTCCGATCCAACATCTGCCTTAGCTTCGGCCTTCTTATCGTTGGGCGCTTCTTCCATCTCCTCGTCACTGCCCTCCTCTAACTCGGCCTCGCCTTCTTCTTCCTGCTCGGCCAGGCTGGCTCGAGGATCGTAGCCGCCTCTCGAAGGCTTGACCCAGGGGCTTAAGTGGGGCGGAAGGGTAGCACCGGGTGCATACAAATCTGGACGGACAAGTTTGCCCTCATTGATGCAATCCCAGACCCACTGAGGCTGGACGTAGGTTCGACCAGGAATCCGAGTACCGGGCTTCACCTTCTGAACGGCATCAGGACCGTCCTTCGAGGCAGCAGGAATAGCGGGAAGAGAGGACTCGGGCAGTTGAGGTCTGTCGACGATCTGGTGAGTAATGCGAGTATCTGTCTCATCGTGAGTGAAAGCACCGTCACCGAGCACGGCATCCCAGCCGATCCGCTTGCAGCCGAAAGCCCGCAGAATGAACTCAAGGGGAGCCCTAGGTGCCTCCCGTGAAATGTAGAATGTGAATGGGGCGAAGAGCGATCCAGCCTCGCTTCCACTCAAGTCGGGCTGGGGGAGTGTATCGGCTTCTGGGGCTGCGGGCTCGAACTTGTCGATCGTTTCGCTAGATTCCTCGGTCGTCTCGGCAGCCGGCTCCTCCTTTGCCTGATCCAGTCCTGCTGATTTGATCACGTTGTCGACCTTAGCCTGAATTTCCTTCGAGACCTCCTTGTTAGTGGAGGTGGTTGCTTGTGTGTTACCAGCCTCGATGGCCTTCGGGGCATCGCCGACACCACGGCCCTCAAGGGTGAAAGCCGCCAATTCCGCCCCATTTTCGTCGCTTCTGGTGTCAAACTTGGGGGGATATCTCAAGCCAATCGACGAATACAATCGGAAGTTCACGAATCCAAGCAGAGTGGTGTAGAAGTCAACGAATGTGGCCATGATACGGTAATCGACGTCGCCGTTGACGCGCTGCACGAATCGGTAGGGAACCAGCCACATAATGTCCTGTCCTTGGATGGTAGCCTGATAGTAGATACCCTTGATCGAAAGGAAAGATTTGCGCAGAGAGTTGGTCGTGATCAAGTAATGCTGAAATTCGTGGCAAAGCCGTTGGCAGAGGGCAATAGTCTTAGGAGGAACGTGGGCAGTTGAGGGAAGGTTGGCAAAGAGGAAAAGAAGTGACAGGGCATCATCCAGATCTCTCAAGGCATCAATGAAAGTGGGATAGCGTTCCTTGATGACATGGTCCAATGTGAGCTTGGGGGCATGGTTCTTCTCCAATCGAGCTGCATCGCCGACTTCTCCGCGTCCAAGAGATCGTGCAATCTTCTTCGCAACGGCTTTCTGCTCCCGGAATTTTCTGAGTAGGGGTTCATGGAGAAGATATTGAATGTCCTTGGTGTAGTAGAAGGTGGTATTCGGGGTCGATGTTTTCGAGGCCTTCTTCTTGTTCCGAGGCTCACGAGGATAGATACCTAATCCGCAAGGACAATCGGATTAGAATCGGCGGCCACATATAGACACGGGAAATGGAGGATCGAATTCACTGAACATACCCTTGAAGATACAAAGACGACGGAAGTCAGGCAGAGAGATCTGAAGCTTGCGAACTGCCTGAGTTCTAGTAATGTAGTTTTTGGCCTGACCAGAGGTACCTGAAAAAAATGTCAATTGAAACTCAAGAGCGCAAAGAATATGGTTCGATAAGCATACCCTTCTTCTTGATTTTACCCATCTTTGCGGTGTACGGCTGTTGAGCGAAAAGTTGTTGATGGGGAGACTTTTTCTCTGATAACCAGAAAAATTTCTTGATAACTATTTTTTCCCTCTTTTTCTTTTTTTCTCCAATCACAGGCTTAGTTGGCCCGTGCGCTGCGGAAAAGGGTAATGCGCGGAGTCTTGGCGCGCCAGGCCGAAGGACAGCTGGAGCAATACAAGCCTGGAGCCACTGTGAGACACTGACTGAAAGCCAGATAGTGATGGTCAATTATTGATAATTGCTATGCTGCGATTGTCAATCCGTTGTTAAACACATCATGCCAGTCGATCGACGGAAAGCCGCCGTGTTCGGCGGTGCTTTCGTCTTGCGGCTTCTCCTCTTGCTCCTGTTCCCCTCGCTGCCGGACCTGCTGACGGGCAGAGTCGAGGTCTCTACACCAGTGAACAGTTTCAAAAGACGTGAGTTCTACACGAGCGTGTTTCCTTCTGTTCCTGGAATGCTCGAGCTGACATCTCTATCTCCAGTTCAAGAAGGCCTCTTTCTTTACACTCGGAATGTTTCCCCTTACGACGGAGGCGTCTTCCATCAGGTATGGGGCCCGGGATCTGCTCTCTTTGGTATTTGCTAAGTCGCGATACCGTGATTTAGGCGCCGCTTCTTCTCCCTGTATTCGCCCTACTACCGAATGCTAGAGACTGTCCGTTGGCGACGGCGGTCTTTTACGCTCTGATTGACCTTGTTAATGCAAATGCCTTGGTTACCATATCCGACTCCAACCAGGCGATATCGGGAAGATTGTATACAGCGTTGCGAAAGGATATCAAGTGGAGTGGGGTAGATGTGGCAGCATGGTAGTTACACTCTGCAAGTTCCTGCATGGCTACGGTCCTGACGGATTACAGGTACCTTTTCAACCCCTTCACCATTGCCGCCTGTCTGGGCCGATCCACAAGCGCCTTTACGTCGACCGCAATCCTTTATGCTCTGTCCAATGCCGTCACTGGGAACAGCTTCAATGCCATGCTCGCTCTAGGATGCGCGTCATATTTGTCGATCTACCCGGCCCTTCTGTTTGTTCCGCTCGTGCTTTTGTGTTACGATCGACGTGCTCAAGGCGCGAAACCTCCATCTGGAGTTGCAGTCTTCTCCATTCAGCACTTTGGCATACTTTTGCTGGGCGTCGGGGGGCTTCTAGGCCTATCTTACTTAGTCGTCCCAGACTTTCGGCAGTTTATCTCTGCAACATATGGTTTCCAATTGCTTGTCCCCGACCTGACTCCTAATATTGGCCTCTGGTGGTATTTCTTCATCGAAATCTTTGATTCCTTCAGAGAGTTCTTCCTTGGCGTCTTCTGGCTCCACCTAACGGGCTACGTCGGTGGTCTCACCGTTCGATTGCGCAAGCAGCCTCTTTTTGTTCTGACTTCCCTTATGGGCATCTTCGCCGTMTTCAAGCCGTATCCTAGTATTTCGGATGCGTCCTTGTACTTTGCGCTTCTTCCTCTCTACCGGCATTTGTTCCCATGTAAGTTCTGGGAGTGTCCCACTGGCGGTTTGTTTCTGCTAACCACAAACAGTGATGCGCTACACCTTTTTTGCCATTTCCGCTCTTCTGTACGCCACCCTCCTGGGGCCTGCATTCTACTACTTATGGATCTACGCTGGATCTGGCAATGCCAACTTCTTCTATGCGATCACACTAGTGTGGAGTCTGGGACTCTCCATCCTATTGGCAGACACAATCTTTGCTGCTCTCAGAGACGAGTGGGAGCAGGAGAATCCAGAAATGCGGGGCAAAGACGTTAGACAGGTCTAGATCAGGGTACCATAGACCTTTCAATATCGAACTTCGAAAGGATTTTCAACCATCGTCATTCTCTTGTGTCGACTTCTGCTTCAGAGATTCAGACATAATGTAGTAGTCAGGCTCCACTTCTCCTGTCCGCAACCGAATCGACCTGGGGGAGTTCTCATCCACCTTGTAACCGATTGACTTGTAAAACCGCAAAGCGCGATGGTTAGACCGAAAGCAGGTCAACATAGCCTTCTCCAGGCCAATTTTGAGCCCGATTGAACGCAACAGCATCATCAGATGCATTCCAATTCCCAGGCCCTGAGCCTTTGGCGCCACGTGCACCTCGTAACAGTAGATTACTTCCTTGCCATCCTCGTACGTGACCATAAACGAAAGGAACGCAAGTATCTCTCCCCTCTGGAAGGATATGCCGTCCGCGATAGTCACTTCAGGTGAACCTGACCGGCTTCGTCGATGAATAAGGTATTTCATATCAGGCAATCGCATCTCTTTTCGCTTGCGAGCTGCAGACCATCCCGAGCTGGACGCCCTGTAAGCATCTGCCGATGTTTGCTCGACGAGATTGAAACACACGTCGAATTCCTCTTTGGGAATCGTACTGGATGAGTAGACGTCAACGGTGCAGTGCACTTTGATGTGAGGCTTATCGCCGTCATGTTGCTTGTATATCCCCTTTGGACACCATAGTAAATTGTAATCAAGGAGCTCTGGGTCGATATATAGCGAGGTAAATTGCTCGATTGGTAGACTGTTGGTGCGCTCTACCAGAGGTATTGACTTGGAATCTGTAAGTGCGTCAATACGAGTCTTGATTCAGTTGTATCTTTTAAGTCCAGAATCTTTCAGATAAAGATTGAGCGAAGAGTACGGGGTGTAGCTTTGAGTGAAGGGAGTTGGGTCCGTCACGACACAGCAGAAAGGGGCAGATAAAACCATGATGAATCCAGCGTTCTGCGTTCATCCAGGACCACAACTCTGGACATCCATAGACATATCGATAATCACGGCTCGGTGAGTCACTCACCTTTATTCTGATCATCAATTGCCTTCCCTGTCAAGCTACGTCGAGTGGATTTTCGCTGTGATGACTGTTTTGCCTTGGGTTTTGTCACTCTGCCTTTTTTGACGGCTGGCATTTTGATACCGCTTCTCTCAGATCTATTTATCAGAATTCATGGCAACAAGTATCATAAATATGTGGGTATTATTTCTGGTGATCAAGCCATTTTGGTGTGTGTTTGGCTGTCTTAAGAGGTCGATTTTCACTTAATCATCAATGCTCGCCAGTTGGTGTTTGACGCCTTGTCACTCCCTTTCTCTGCTGTAATCACACTTTGAATCAATGCTATCTTAGCCCAAGTTCAACCATTCTTCGACCTTGATCATTCGAACCGAGAAATTGAATATTCTTCCAGCATACTGGCCTTGATAGATGCAGATAGCACGTTTTATCGGGTCTTCATAGCGTTCTTTTTTCACTCTGGGCTTATCAATATAGGTTACCTTCGATTTGTCGACTGGTGTGTTACAAGAAGAGATAGTTCATACTCAAAGGCTTACACTATATGCAGTGCATCTTATTGCACACAAATAGCAAAACACAAATTGGTAGTGGCATGGTGACAAAAACGCAGTTTTACTTTCAGAGAGCAATCTCTTCTTGTCGCCGTCTGATGACGAGCTTCGCCGAAGGATCAGCCCCTCTTTCGCACCGTCGGTGTATAGCCATCGGCCAGTTTGAAATCATACTTTAATAGAATATGGCTCAAGGCGATCTTGACACGTTGGCAGAGAAGAACCGTGCTGGGCAAGCGTGCTTCCCATAGCCGAATCCGAGGTGCTCTGGAGACGGCGACACTAGCTGGGCCGAAGTCTCATGGCCGGGAGTCTCGCGTAGTCTCAAAATCGATAGGTATCGAAAGCCCCCGGGTTTGGGTAAACGGCTGGATCCCACATTTTGTGGCTAGAGACGAGAATGGAGGAGCCCTTGGAGTGAGTGTGCCTCGGACAATATGACATCCTCGAGCGGCGAGACGTCTCATTGAAGCTTGGCGAGGTCAGTCTTTTCTAGTATCACGAGATATAGACACTTGACAGGGGATAGAAATGCTAGCCGATGTTGATCGGCTTCAAACATTGACTTTCCAGCACACTGTCCATAAGTTTGAGCTTATTTAAGGCGGTCTTCCTCCATCCTTCTTCCTGGATGACCGCCACAATTTCCTCGGAAAGCGCTTGGATAACATCCTCATGACCACAAAGGTCGGGGAGGACCTGCTTGAGCATGTCTGACGTAGTGTGGGTGGCAACCGATGAGAAGGCCATTTGCGCTTCCGCAGGGGGATGGGGCCGACCTTTGACGCATTCCTCCATCCACTGCATAGAATCATCCTAGCGTTTTGGTGGCTGATTTGCCCTCCTGGCTGCTTCTAGGTCCCTGCTCTTTCTTCCAGCACCGGAGTTATGATTTACGCCGCTTCCTTAAGTTCCTCGCGGATTTTATGGCAGGGATGGCAGGAAGTTGGCCATGATGGGGCGTATCAATCTGGGCCAGAGCCGGAGATCCACAGCGGCTAGGAAGGTATGCACGGTATAATCGACAGTGATACGCAGCCAGTCTGGGTTACGACAAATCTTGTCCGCAAAGAAGATTTTTGACGAGAGATGGGCAACCATTTGAAGAATGCTCGGCTTGAGAGCCACGTCATGCTAGTCTGACCTGATCAGTACTTGTGAAACAAATGGAGAGATAATATGAAGGCATATGTGATGCCTACGCATCCAGAAGATCGAAAGTTCAGCGGTAAGCTCGTCCCCAAGTGTGGCCTTGTACAGTTAGGGCCTGCTAAGATCTAACTATTAGCTCAGGCTATGCTCTATTTAATTTCTACATGGGCACTGAACTTAATTCCAGGATTGGCAATTACTTCGAGTTTTTTTGGAGTACGTCTATGTGTGCGCTCTGCTTTCAGATTGCTGGGCATCATTATGGCCTTGAAGCGAAGCCAAGCACCCCTCAGCTAGGTACACATCCTAACAAAGCTCGAACTCAGGTCAAATAAGCTGCATTAAAAAGGTATGTCTAAGAAAAGAAACACGCCTCTGTAAGGTAACCATAATCATACACGATACAACCTGGTTGTCATTTCTGAAGAGATACACAAGGCTAGACTCATTGCCCCTTTTCCTTCGCATTGCCTGTGTTTAGAGGGGTGCTTTGTGCTGCCATCCGCCGTCTAACACAATCTTCAACCGCAGTCCTTAGTCCGTCCTCAAGCCCGACCAGAGGCTTATACCCGAGTCTTTTCTTCGCCTTGTCAATGCAGAAATACCTTGTCATGCAGCTGAGCCGGACTTTGGTCCTTGTCAGAGGTGCTTGGCCTAGGCGAAGAGCCCAGAAGATCCACTCCAACAATCCAGCCAGCAGCAACGCCCACGTTCGACTGATCACCCATACTTGTTCCGGCCGCGTTGTGTCCCCTGCAAACCCCCAAACCAGCCGTGTAAAGTCCCAGAAGCATCGAGGTTCATCATTGGTGATAAAAAATGCCTCGCCATCCACCTTGGCGTCGTCCTCAGGGAGGTTGTTTTGGCATCTGACCAGCGCGGCGGCAGCAAGATAGTGACCGTATGCCACGTTCGTGTTCTCGGTAAAGTCGAATAAGTTTTTGTTATCACCAATCTGCACCTTCGTCTGGCCTCTGAAATAAACATGCAGAATACCAGGGAGCACGACCAGGTCGCCGACACCAAAGATACCGGAAGGCCGGATCGCGCAGGTCAGGAAATGGGGCGAGGTGTCAGTGTCTACCGACCGACGATTCTGTGAAAGTACATATATCTCAGCAAGAGCTTTGGTGTGAACGTAGAATTCCGGTTGCTGGTCGCCGAGAATGATGGGGTAGGTCTCATCAGCACTCTTCAGATCAGTCTCGCGTCGCTGATAACACTCGCAGAGCTTGTGTAGACAAATGAGTGTGTTCCAGACTCTTGCGCAATCTGGACCAAGTTCCTAGTGCCCTCCACGTTGACTTTATACATGATATGACTTGGTGTGTCGAATTTGGGACTGGCGGTGTGAATTACGACATCAGGTTTGACACCATGGAAGATCTGTCGCATCGCGTTGACATCTGTAAGGTCTCCTAAGTGGTATGTAACACCATTAAGAAGATGAGAAGGCTGCCGAAGATCAATCGAGTGTAGACTTTTGCAACCACGCTGTGAGAAGAGCTGGAGGATCTGGCTGGCAAGACCACCACTGCCACCAGTCACGAGAACCGTGCTTCGGCTTAAGGAAGAATGCTCTTCGGTCATGGTAAATAAAGATGTACTAGAGAATTAGCATGCCATAAATGACCTGACGTAGAAACGATGAAGAGCTGGTGGTAGAGATTGGGATAGAGACACTCAACCAGTGTTACGCAAATAAAGGGGCAACTGCTACCTGTCTACCTATCTTCAAGCCTATTAGATATAATGTTCCTCCGTTCCGAACGCAGCTAGAGTTCCAAAAGCTGCATAATTATGTCAGACATGCTCTATTTGGAGGGCAATATTGGTTAAATTGAAAGTGGGAGAGGCCAAGGCCCTGAAAAGGTAAGACTGGTGAGATGCAGGTGCATGGCACTCATGTGGGTACAGTACTTATCCATGAATGGGACATATATATAGGTAGTATATAGCAGCACAAAGTACAAGAAGTGGATCTAGAGATTCCGTACTCCGTAGACGACTATATGTAGATCCTAGTCATCTTTAGCCCGCCACTACGCAGTCGTGGTAGTAAAACCATAGTATCTGGTTGGTAGATAAGCCTAGACCCTACCACCGTAACAGCGCCAGTGTCGCTACGAGCACCATGGTTTCAGGTAGCCATGGAGCAGTCTGCTGATTCAGTGTTTCCCCTGTACGATGGTTCAAGACGGACTTCTACACTCGCATGGACATATTCATTGCAAGAAGTGCATTAACTGACTCATTCCCATCTTGAAGAATTAAGCCCCCAGCACCGACCCCATCCATTAGTGTATCGATCGTTACATATATATATGCCCCTCAGCATCTATAGAACATTTAACCGCTACGAGAATTATGTGCTCTCACTCTCCCTGAGCTTCGCTGCATGCTCCTCTGCGCGTCTCTCGGCTTCCTCAGCGCCCAATTCCCCAAACACATCCACACCCCAGCGGAACGGATAGCTATATCGCTGATGGCGGTCGAGTTTGTTGAGGGCTTCGAATTCCGCATCAGGAATGATGAAGTCTGATGGAGACGTGCTGGTCAGTCAAAGAGGTTCGAACACTGAGGGCCGGGTTGAATAGGTACCTTGAAAGTTGCTCTCAATCCGAGCTGGGGTGACACTCTTTGGAATAACAGCGGAACCACGCTGGACAGCCCAAGAGATCAGCAATCCTGCAGGATCTTTGCCCAGTCTTTTCGCTATTTCGATCACGGCGGGGTCATCGACAACACTGTTTGACAGTTAGTTCACTCCGTCAGCGGTGGTATGAGGATTTGGTATACCGAGGAGCACCGAAGATATTGTTGCCAAGAGGGCTATAAGCAACAGGTAGAATATTCTAGGAGATAGTCAGCAAGTTCTGAATGCCATTGTAGGAGATCGGTGAGACGTACATTCTCTTTCAGATACCGAAACAACTTGGGCTGAAGGAGGTAAGGATGAGCCTCGATCTGGTTGACCGCCGGAGGAATCTCTGCTGTCTTAAGTAGTTCCTCCATCTTCTCGATGGTGAAATTGCTGACTCCAATACTTCGAATCTTGCCAGCCTTGACTAGCTTCTCCAATGCCGCCCAAGTATCGCCGATGGGAATGTCCACTAAACGGAATCGTTTTGTGGCCGGGTCAACGGGTTGGAAGGTGTCGGCTGTATGTGTAAATGATATGGGCCAGTGGATCTTTTCATCCATCAGTAGAGATACGTTAAGAGTGTAACTGAGTTACGGACATACCAGGTACAAGTCCAAATAATCCGTCTGTAGATCCTTGAGTGTCCTGTCTAGCGCTTCTTCGACATGGCTCGGATGATGGTGCGTATTCCACAGCTTACTCGTTAACTGCAGAGGGAAATGAGATACTTCGTCAAATGCAATTGAGGGAACTATGATTGGAACCAACAAATATCTCCTCGCGAGGAACACCGGACTTCTTCCATCCCAGTCCTACTTCGGCTTCATTCAAATAGACCGCAGCACCGTCGATATGGCGGTATCCCACGCGAAGAGCTGTCGCAACGGCATCTTCTACCTCGCGAGGCGCTGATCGCTGTCAGCTCATTAGCAGTCAGATTCATATAGCTCGAACGTTGACCTCTACTAACCCAGGTCCCTAGACCAACAGCCGGGATCTCATACCCAGAATTGAGCTTGAATTTACGCCCTAGAGACATAATCGATACGTTCTTGAGTTCAAGAAAGATAGGGTATGCAAGCAGCCACCCAGAGATGGGATCAATGCAAAATGATCGGTTCTCAAATTAGTGAGGGGATGCGCCATGCTGCTGACTGGTTTACCCCTTACCCCGCATGCAATGCAGATCTCGCCAGCGATAAGACTATGTGGATTCTATGCGAGGACATCTTCGGTCAACAAATTTCTGAACAATAGATCTTAACGACAAAGCATTCACTTCGTCGTCTAATGTGTCTACTCACTTGTGCGATGGTAATACCCGTGAAAGAAACTCCTTTTCCTTTGATACCCTCTTCCTCACTTCGGCAATTGACAGGCATCCGGCAAGGTAATGCAAACTTATGGCCTCTTTCAGTCTTTCTCTATCTTGATTACTGAGATACAAACCACCTATATGAGGGTTTATTCTCCATAAGTCTCGTGGATAACCAGCAGGTAGCCCTTACTTCCAATGATCGCTGATAGCGAGCGGTCTTTCTTGGAAGTGTTGGTTGCCGAATCCACTTGGATTTCCGTTCACTTTGCTTTGATCGCCTGTGACATGAGATTGGACAGCATCACGCGATGGTCTGTGTGGCTACGACAGCAGCCCAGAGACTGTCAATTAGGTATATATAGAGCCAGGATGTCTGGCAGATGGTCCATCGAGCAATCGTTGTGTGGGAAATAGAGTACGCGGAACAACAACTGCCTTTACACTGCGCCACAGCTCATCCACTTTCTCTGGTACTTCCACCTACTCTACTGGCGTTGGACTTCACGGCGCGCTAGAAATGTCTAATGAGGAAGGAAAGGCATCCTGTCTCGGGCGAGTATCTTGCACATGTTGGCAAGTTTTCCTGCTAATAGCGAGATAGATACTTGGCGTCCGATACGGTTGCCTTAAAATCGCCAGGATCAACATGCACGATCAAGATCCACAAAGATCTCTTGAAGTCCAAGTCTAAAATCTTCCATGCGGCACTCACCAGCGAATTTTCGGAGGGCCAGGATGGAGTGTATCCCTGCTCAGACAGGACTCATGGGACTCTTGCGCGCTTTGTTGAGTGGACACTCGAGGCGACTATCCGGCATCAGTGATCAGCATGGATCTGGTGCAGAAGAAAGTCAAGATCTCTGATGATGCTGACGAGGCTGATGCACCATCAGAAGTAGCTGCCAATGTGAGCGAAAGCACGGTGTGGAGCTTGACAATCATCCTCTGCTGGCTCACCTCCGGCTTTATATTTTCAGCGACGTGTACCTCATCTCGGAACTGAAGCAGTTGGCCTATGGAAAAATCTCACTGCATGCTTCGTGGATATCAACAGACCCCAAACTCTCGATCCACAACGTGCGGTCATCTCTGTCTTGCGTGTCGCCTCCCTCAAGATTCAGCCCAGCGACAGTCTCTTGGACTGGCTGGCCCATTATGCGGCATACACCGTCGATCAACTTCAACATCATCCCTCTTTTCACGATCTTCTTGAAGCCGCTCCTGCCCTGTGCTCGAGCATGATGAATAGATTAAGACCGGCTTCAGCTGCTCCTTGGCAAAGTCAGACTTCGAAACATAGATTCCCACCCTACAAGCCGGGCAGCTATGAGGAACAATGTGAGTGACCTTGAAGGTGGGTAACATGCGTGAGAAACTACGGCTGTTGGTACGAGCCACACAAGCTGCGTGGAGAAGTCCTGAACAAGAAGTCCGGTTTTTCCGGTGTTGAAGCGTTCTTGGTACTTGATACTGGCCTTAACATCGTTGCTGGGTGACAGATTATTCTGTCAGATTGGTTCGTGGATTTGCCGGAGTGGAGAGAGAATTTCTAGAATGAATCAAGTTTCGGGACATCTCTTCGTCGTACGTCGCTGAAAAACTGGCTAGACAAATGGTAGAGTAAGATGAAGACGGTCATACATTCACCGTTCTACTGTTCATCCTCTAGCGTTGATGATTATCAATCGGAACAATCAGAAAGATATCAGTCAAGGTGCAACTGCCGGCAATTCGGTGACTCGGTGTTTGAAGGTATCCACATCCACTTTCGGTCCCTTGAGCAGCTAGAATCAACACCACCTTAGGAGACACCCGGCAGTCGTTGCCCAAACGATATCCAGCAAACTGAGCAAAGATGGGCCGGATTTATAAGCAGACTGAACTGAGGATCTCACAAGCATTGATGATTTGCTCATCCACTAAACCTAGATATCTCGGATATCCCCCGGCACCGTTAAAGATGGCCCGAGTCGGAGAGTTATCAGTGTGCGGTCATAGCAGGTGGAGCTCCCTTACGTCAAGAACTGTAGCTCGAGAGTTTGAATTAAAATAACTGCTTGGGCCTCCCTGATCAGTAGATTTCTGGCTAGCAGCTTGATTTCGATCGCGACACCTTTTCAATTGACAAGCCCGGGACTCGACGCCTTACATACGAAAAATGGCTCCATCAACTATGAAGCAGTGGGTTGCTGTGGATAAGGAGAACGGTTTTGATAGTCTTAATTTTGAGGAAGCTCCGGTGCCCAAGTGTGGTGAAAATGAGGTCCTCGTCATGCTACGCGCTGCGTCGCTCAACTATCGTGACCTGATCATCCCCAAGGTGTGTCATTTCATCAACACATGAGATTGCAATGAGGAAACAAATCTTATGTCGCTGACACTTATGATTCTGACAGGGGATGTACCCCTTCCCTCTCGATTTACCCGTCGTCCCCGGTTCCGATGGTGCCGGCGAGGTCGTCGAGGTCGGGTCGAAAGTGACCCAGTTCAAGAAAGGCGACAAGGTGGTGACCTTGTTCAATCAATTCCATCAGTACGGTCCTGTCGATACGCGGAGCAGCAAATCCGGTCTCGGTGGTGTCCTCGATGGTACTCTGCGCCAATATGGTGTTTTCAACGAAAATGGCCTGGTCAGGGCTCCCAGGAATCTGAACTTCCTCGAGTCGAGTACCCTTACCTGCGCTGCTCTCACCAGCTGGAATGCTCTGTATGGCTTGAACGCTCTTAAGCCGGGTGAGGTCGTTCTGGTACAAGGAACGGGCGGTGTTAGCCTGTTTGCCCTGCAGGTACGTCTTCAAGCTGATGCTAGCCGCATACTTGAGCAAGGAACATGCGACAAGCTGACAATATCCCTGGAATAGTTCGCTAAAGCAGCTGGAGCTACTGTTATTGCTACGACCTCATCTGATGTGAAGGCCAAGAAGCTCAAGGAGCTTGGAGCGGACCATGTCATCAACTACAAGACGAACCCCAACTGGGGTGAAATTGCTCGCTCTCTGACTCCCGACAACGTCGGTGTCGATCACATCATCGAAGTGGGAGGCGCTGGAACTCTTGGGGAGAGTTTGAAGTGCATCAAGTTTGAGGGCACAATCAGCATCATTGGTTTCCTAGGAGGTGTCGATCTCAAGGGTCAGCCTAGCATGCTTGAAGCACTCAACCATATCTGCACCATTCGGGGTGTATATGTCGGAAGCAAGGCTTTGATGAACGATATGATCAAGGCCATTGAGGTGAACAACATCCACCCCGTGGTTGACGAGAAGGTTTTCCGTCTCGATCAGGCCAAGGAAGCTTATGAATACATGGTGAGTCTTCTTTCGCTTGAGGGTTATTGAGAATAGGGCGCTAACGGCAAGCAATAGTGGGCTCAAAAGCATCTCGGAAAGCTGGCAATTGAAATTGATTAAACACGAGCGTATCAGACTATGCGAAGGCTATTAATGATGAATACAACAAATTTGAATGGATTGTCAGTGCATGTGTACTACCATAGCCCGTTGCACTATCTAGAGTGATGTGATTAATGCCAATCGACGTATGATGCCAAGCCATCTCCATCATTCCTGGGTAGTCTTTTTAACGTTCTAATTCCCTTATCTACTCTGCATGGACACTAGGCAAAGATATATTAGCTTTCTTGTACTGTCTAGAGAGGTACATTTGTAGATGGATAACTTCTCCGGAACACCATGAGAAGCTGGAGGGGCGTCACTGCAGCCTGCACCTTCCCCTCATCTTGCCCACAACACGCCACCGCCGCACAACAGCTCATCATGCATCATAACGCCATGATCGTCCAGCATCCCCTTCTCCTGATTTGCGCTTGTCATGAAAATGGGTCCTCTTCACACTACTCCGTACTACTGCAAAAGTAGTGAGGTCTCTCCACTTCTTAGCTCCGTACTTGACTTAATGTTCCCAAGTCTCCCGGTCTACTCTTGAGATGCAGGTTAGCACAAGGAATACGTCGACTCGGCCCATCATCGGTCCGGGTCGCCATCAGATGCCATCACAGCTTCACTTCTACCGTCCCGCCCAAATGAGTCTGTTTGCGCGTGTGACGTGCTACCCGCCTCTGGGGCAGGTCACTTGTATACCAAGGGTACAGAATACATTGCAGTCGGAAAAGGACGATACGGTGAGCTTATTACCATTGATTTTGTGTCCATCTCACACTTGAGGAGAGCTGCCTCTCTTAATCCGTTCTACTACAAACAATCAAATAAGCTAATGAACAATAGCTTCGCTTTACCGTGGTAATTGAGTCAAGCAGCTTATTCCCAGAGCAGCCTTGGGAAGCCCAGATTTGGCATAATCTCTCCAGTTCCGAATGGACGGCACTCTCGCTGAAGAAATGTGAGCCCATTGTAGCCCCTCTGATGAACGGGGACGAGGAAGATTATAAGTACCGTCGCTATGTCTTCTCCGAGGAAATCGCGCTCCCTGCTACCGGGGGCTATGCACACTTCACCGCTCGATTTCGAGCCACTCCAGAGGCAGAATGGCAATGGGTGAACCAACAACGCCATATCAATGACGGGGAGCTGGTATTTGCGGCGCGGAATTCTCGGTTCGATACGGGTGTCTCTTCGTCTGTTGCTACAGATCCCGCTCGGGCACCGTCGTTTAGTCCTTCTGCGATGACATATGGAAATGCATCTACAACGTCAGATAGAGAGGGGTTTGGCAAGTTTTTTGATAATCTGTCGACTGAGATCGAGGTCGAATCGCGTACGAGTGAGGCCCCTGCTTCTCTTCTGTGGAGCGTTTCGGGATCAGTAAAAGCTGCCAAAGAGGGCCAGTCAGGCTTCAAGCGAGTCGCCCTGGGCCAACCATCCTCAATCGCCCGTTATTTCGCCCTAGTAAGGGTATGGATTCCATGGCTAGGGCCTAGACATGGAAAGAAGAATTTCAGCTTGACAGAGGATGCCGTATTATGTTCCTTCCTGCGGACTGACGGTTCCCATCTCGTTCTTCTGGCAGTCTCTGGGATCAGTGATGTCCTGACTGTGCTTGCCTCGAACGAGAAAAGGGAAGTCGTGATTAAGGCTAAGAGCGATCACACTGAAGCAAGCAAGTTCCAGGTGCTTGCTTCTGCCGCCGATGATTTCGAAGTAGCAATGAGCGCTGTCATATACGAAGCTCGGAAAATGGTCAGGCCGTACGCTACAGAGGTATTGTCTGATCGATCACCGACTCCCGTCTCGCCCGTCGACAATGATATTGTGATGGTCGAAAAGGACCCTCAGGCGCAATGGATGTCGGAGTGGTATGATGGCCTAAGCTACTGTACTTGGAACGGGCTGGGGCAGAACCTGACCGAAGAAAAAATTCTTTTCGCTCTTGACTCCTTGAAGGAGCAGGAAATCAAAATTCAAAATCTGATTATAGATGACAATTGGCAGGCTCTCGACAACGAAGGCGAGTCACAGTTCAAGAGGGCGTGGACGCGGTTTGAGGCAGATCCCAAAGCGTTCCCGCAGGGATTTAAAAAGGCCATAGAGACCATCCGCCAGAAGCATCGGAATATCCAGCATATCGCGGTCTGGCATGCCCTCTTTGGATACTGGGGTGGAATTTCGCCCAACGGGGATCTTGCCCGAGCGTACAAGACCAAAGAGGTGCAGATTACGGATCCGGCCACAGGAGGGCCCGGTGCGCACACCTTCGAGAAGGGGTCATTGCTGGCCATTGACCCTGAAGATATTCAGCGCTTTTATGATGATTTCTACAGCTTTTTAACCTCTGTTGGTGTTGATTCGGTCAAAACGGACGCCCAGTTCTTCCTTGATCTGCTGAAAGACCCCGTGGACCGCCGACGGTTTATGAACGCCTACCAGGACGCATGGTCCATTTCCTCTCTGAGTCACTTCAGTACAAGGGCAATCTCGTGCATGTCCATGATCCCCCAAGCCATCTTTCACTCCCAGCTCCCAACGAACAAGCCTCAGATCGCTCTGCGCAACTCGGATGACTTCTTCCCGGAGATCCCGGCATCTCACACATGGCATGTATTTTGCAACGCACACAATGCCCTCTTGACACGGTACCTCAACGTCCTGCCGGACTGGGACATGTTCCAGACGTGCCATCCCTACGCTTCGTTCCATGCAGCTGCACGATGCCTCTCAGGTGGCCCGATATACATCACTGACGAGCCTGGTAAACATGGCCTACCGGTCATTAACCAGATGACCGCGCCAACTATACATGGATCAACAGTCATCCTCAGACCTAGCATCGTGGGACGCACGCTGGACATGTACCACGATTACAACGAAGGCAACATCCTCCGCATCGGCACGTACACCGGTTGGGCCAAGACTGGCAGCGGCATTCTGGGACTCTTCAATATCCACGCCGCGGGATCCTCTTGCATCGTACCCTTGCGCGATTTCCCTGGCATTCATGCAGGTTCAGATGGCCAGTACATTATCCGTGCACACACAAGCGGCAAAATCACCGAGCCGATGCGTCCATCCGACGACAAGGCCCTCGTATCCGTTATACTCGAGCAGAAAGAATGGGAGATTCTCACGGCCTACCCGACCAAATCCTTTACCCTCAAGGGGAGTAGAGGCTGCAACGCGGACGGCTCCAGGCTCACCCACGTCGCTATCTTGGGCTTGCTGGGTAAGATGACCGGCGCAGCCGCCGTGGCGAACAGTGATATCATCATGGCGGAGAATGGCCGCTTGCGTTTCGACGTCAGCCTCAAAGGTCTGGGGACTCTGGGTATTTATTTTTCTGACTTGCAGGATTGGAGTATTGCCCGGAATTTCATGGTGACTATTCGTGGCCGGGCCGTGCCAAGAAAGACGGTTTGGAAGGAAGGAGGTGCTCATGCTATGGTTCTAGCGGTCGATGTTCAGGCGGCGTGGAAGGCAATGGGATTGGATAGTGGATGGAGCAATGAGGTCCTTGTGCAGGTCTTTGTTGGATGATCGTTTCATGTAGTCCGGATAGGTTTCGATCAGCAGCAATGAAATGCTTTGTCCCAGAGTCCAGTCCGCTGTAGGTCGACGGGCCCAGGGGAATCCTACTCGACAACGGCCCTCCACCCCCGTCTCGGCACAAAATCCCTCACAGCTTCATCCTCCAACACATCCTTCCCCAGCCTCCCCGTGACCACACTCCTTTCAACCTCAGGCCCGCGAACATAGAACGGCTCGAACCCTAGTTCCTGTCCAGTCCGCACATTGCGCTTGCGCACCCACCTCTTCTTCCCTGACCCAGCTTTGGCTTTAGCATGCTCAGGGACAAACCCGGAGTTGGCCCGGTCCAACGTGGCAAACCATCGTCGCTGGTGGATCGAGCCGATGGTGTTAGTGGAACCGGGGTACGCATTGTTCACCCGAATCTGATGGTCTACGGCGCTTTCGGATTCAGAATGGGAGGCCATGGTGGCTGTGTCTATGTCTGCTCCTGTGTCTGCAGATTGATCGTGAGATTCCCCGTCTGAAATGGGAGAGTCTGAGGAGGTGCTGGGCTCCGGACGGGTGGCTGATAAACGAGTAGTCCGTCTACGTCTCTTCCGAGGAACCCGTGTAGACGGCTTTGCAAAGTCAAAATTCTTGTCTAGCCGGAGGATGATGGTATAGTTCTCCGGAAGACGGGTTCCATGGAGTCGGAGGCGGATTTTATTCTGCACGCGATCAGCTATGGTCAGGGCTGGGGGGAGCATGCCACGTACGTTGCGAAAAGCCTCGCGGAGCTTCTCACTCTCAGTCTTCTTATAAACAGGAGAATGAAGTGATGCGTCTGAGAGTTCTGACCGGGAGTCATCTGTTTCGGCCATTTCTGGCTCGGACTGGGAAGGAAGAATTTCGTATTCCCCTGTGTCCCAAATGATCATGCTACCTGTACTTGCGGATGCTGTTTCAATTAGGTGGTTCTGTAGGTTCGAACGCAGTCAGAGTAATGTAAAGGGAACAATTCTCACTAAATACGATGAGCCATCGGACAACATACCCAGAAACAATGCACCCGCGTCTCAGTCGCATTCCGGTTCAACCGGCGACTGTTGGGATCACCAGGTAATCCGTACATGATCGACCAGCTGACAGAGCTCGTTTCCGAAAACTGCAGCCGCAGGTCATAGTGCGGTCCTGCGACGGGGTGATCATGTTGATGAATGACAAAGTGTCGGCCGTTTGGATGCAGGTTTCGTTCGTACAGATCCACCCAGTCTCTGATCGGCAGCCGAGGCACTTGGGGCGATACCGGACGAGCACACCTCGCAAGTCTGGAGGAGAAGATCTTAAGGTGGTCTGTCACCTCTATTTTGCCAGCTTCGATGGCTGCAAGGCTTGGTTCAGAACTGGGGGTTTTCGAGTCTGCGACATTTGTTTGCTTCGCGGATGGTATTGAAGGTTCAGGCTGATCGTTCGAGGTTTTCTTGGCCCGA